GTATGCCCAGGCGTGCCCCAGGTGTACCCCAGGCGTGCCCCAGGTGTGCCCAGGCGTGCCCCAGGTGTGCCCCAGGTGTGCCCTGGCAGGTGCTGCCCTCACCTGTTGAAGTTGAGCAGGGACTGCCAGCGCTGGGATTTGAAGTTCTTGATGTTCTGGGCCTCGTCCAGGATCAGGTACTTCCAGTTCTTCCTGCGGAAGGCCTGGTGGTCCTGCAGCACCAGCTTGTAGGAGGTGATGCACACGTGGAACGCGTTCGGCTTCGTCCAGCCCTGACAGGTGACGCACGTGGGACAGGTGAGGCCGAAACCCCCCCAAGAAAGCCTCCCTGAAACAGCCCGGGTGTGCCCCCAGGTGTGCCCCCAGGTGTGCCCCAGCTACACACAGACCACGCCCAGCTGTGCCCCCAGGTGTGCCCCAGCTGCACACAGACCACACCCAGCTGTGCCCCCAGGTGTGCCCCCAGGTGTGCCCCCAGCTGCACACAGACCACGCCCAGGTGTGCCCAGGTGCGCTCACCTGTCTCTTGAGGCGCCGCTCCTTCTGGGCGCCGTAGTAGGTGAGGATTTTGAAGCTGGGGCACCAACGCTTGAGCTCCATCTCCCAGTTCAGCATCACTGAGGTGGGCACGATGATCAGGTGAGGGCCCCAGCTACCTGCGCACAGGTGAGAGACAGGTGAGACACCCCAGAACGAGCACAGGTGAGTTCCAAACACCTCAAGAAACGGGCTCAGGTGAGTCCTTGAGACCCTGAAAACACTCGTGGATCCCAAAGACCTCCCAGAGCTGCCCAGGTGTCTCCAGGTGTATCCCAGGTGTATCCCAGGTGTGCCCAGGTGTCCCCAGGTGTCCCCAGGTGTCCCCAGGTGTGCCCAGATGTATCCCAGATGTATCCCAGGTGTATCCCAGGTGTCCCCAGGTGTACCCCAGCTGTCCCCAGGTGTCCCCAGGTGCACCCCGCTCACCTTTCTCGCAGGCCAGGTGTGCCAGCAGCGAGATGGTCTGGATGGTCTTGCCCAGCCCCATCTCGTCGGCCAGGATCCCGTTGAGCTGCTTCTCGTACATGGTGACGAGCCAGTCCAGCCCGATGTGCTGGTACTCGCGCAGCGTGCCGCGCAGCAGGTGCGGGATCGGCGTCTTCACCTGCGCCACCGCCGCGGGGACACGCCACAGCGCAGGTGAGACACGGGCGAGGCACGGGTGAGACAGGTGAGACACGGGTGAGACACGGGTGAGACAGGTGAGACACGGGTGAGACACGGGTGAGGCACAGGTGAGACACGGGTGAGACACGGGCGAGGCACAGGTGAGACACAGGTGAGACACGGGTGAGACACAGGTGAGACACAGGTGAGACACGGGTGAGACACAGGTGAGACACAGGTGAGACACGGGTGAGACACAGGTGAGACACAGGTGAGACACGGGTGAGACACAGGTGAGACACAGGTGAGGCATAGGTGAGGCACGGGTGAGACACGGGTGAGACACAGGTGAGACACAGGTGTATCCCAAGTGTATCCCAGGTGTGCCCAGCTGTATCCCAGCTGTATCCCAGGTGGGACCAGGTGTATCCTAGGTGTCCCCAGCTGGGAGCGGCTGTATCCCAGCTGTACTGAGCTGTACTCCAGGTGTGCCCAGGTGTATCCTAGGTGTACTCCAGGTGTGCCCAGGTGTATCCTAGGTGTACTCCAGGTGTGCCCAGGTGTATCCTAGGTGTACTCCAGGTGTGCCCAGGTGTGCTCACCTGTGTGGTGGCCAGGGTGTAGCCCTTCGGCTGGAGGCTCTCGGCGGCCGCCGCGATGTCGCTGATCTCCTTCTTGGGGGCGGGGCCGGCAGCTGCGGCCGGGGCCGGGGGCACCTGGGCAGGTGTGGGTGGGGCCACGCCCCCCCCAGGCTCACCTGGCGCTCCACCCCCACCCTCTTGCCCCTCCCCCTCCTCCTCGTCCTCCTCGTCATCGGCCTCGTCCTCCTCCTCCTCCTCCTCCTCGTCTTCCTCATCCTCATCCTCCTCACTGTCACCGCCAGGTGAGTCTGGGGACACAGGTGAGCTCAAGGCAGCGCCCGAGCAGGTGCAGGGCACGCCCGGGTGGGGTTTGGGGCTCCTGGGCGGGGTTTATGGCACACCTGGACAGGTGTGAGGCACGCCCAGGTGGACGATCAGGTGAGCGACCTGCAGCAGGGCGTACCTGAGCGGGTGCTGCTGGCGCCGGGGGCGGAGTCGCAGTCGGAGTCGGTGAAGGCGCCGCGGTAACGCTGCAGCAGCTCCTCCATGGGCAGCGCACCTGAAACGCACCTGAGTTACCTGCGGCACCCCAAACGTTCTGGGCCTTTCTGGGGTATTTTGGAACGACCTGGGGTCGTTCTGGGGTGGGTTTTGGGACGTTCTGGGGTGGGTTTTGGGTCGTTCTGGGGTGGGTTTTGGGCGTTTCGGGTCGCTCACCTTCCCTGGCGAGGTCGTCGAGCTCCTGCTGGTGATCGACGTCGCCCTCCAGGCGCTCCTGGGCCGCGATCGTGTCCTCCTCATCCTCACCTGGGGACAGGACCAAACAACGTCACCGAGTGTCACCTGAACGTCGCCCAACCGTCCCCAAAACGTCAGCAGATGTCACCGAGTGTCACCTGAACGTCACCAAATGGCCCCAAACGTCAGCAAACGTCACCGAGTGTCACCCGAACGTCACCAAATAACCCAAAAAGATCAGAGGAAACACAAAAAGATGAGGGAAACACCGAAAAAAAGTCAGAAAACCTCCCAGAAACAGCTCCCATTCCCCCCAGGTGTGACTCCTCCCCCCCAGGTGTGACTCCTCTCCCCAGGTGTGGCTCCTCCCCCCAGGTGTGGCTCCTCTCCCCCAGGTGTGGCTCCTCCCCCACCTTCCTCCTCCTCAGCTGCGAACTCCTCATCCTCCTCGCGGGGGCCCCAGGGCGGGGGAGGGTCCCGAGTGCTCCGCAGCACCTGGGCAGGGGAGGGGACAGGTGAGGGGGAGGGGCACAGGTGAGGTGAGGGAGGGGCACGGGTGAGGGTGGGGGAGGGGCGGTACCTGCGGGGGGAGGGCGCCCAGCAGGTCCCCGAGAGGCCGGGGGGGGCTCTCGGCCGGGGCTGCCAAGGAGGGGACAAGTGAGCTCGGGGACACCTGGTGACAACAGGTGACACCTGGGCCCGCCCAGCCCCCACACCTGACCCCCAAACCCCCCAGGTGACACCTGGGCCCACCCAGCCCCCACAGGTGAGCCGATGAGCGCTCTCAAACCCCTCCAGGTGACTCCCAAAGCCCCAAAGGTGAGCTCTCCCCCCAGGTGACCTCTCTCACCCAGGCGAGCCCCAAACCTCCCAAAAGACGCCCCCTTTCCCCGGGTGAGCCCTGAGGCGAGCCCTGTGCCCGCCAGGTGCGCGGGCGGTACCTGTGCAGGTGCGGGCGCCGTGCCGCGGGGCGTTGAGGCTGCGGCTCAGCAGGTCCGAGTAGCGCTCGGTCTGGCCCACGATGAAATCCAGCTGCAGGTCCAGCGCCTTCTTGCGCTTCTCCTCCAGCCGCGACTGCTGCTTGAACTGCACCACCTGCGGCACGCCCGCGCCCACCTGAGCTCACCTGAGCGCACCTGAGCGCACCAGAGCACTCACCTGAGCGCACCTCAGCTCACCTGAGCGCTCACCTGAGCTCACCTGAGCGCACCTGAGCTCACCTGAGCGCACCTGAGCGCACCTCAGCTCACCTGAGCGCTCACCTGAGCGCACCTGAGCTCACCTGAGCGCACCTGAGCTCACCTGAGCTCACCTGAGCGCACCTGAGCTCACCAGAGCGCACCTGAGCTCACCTGAGCTCACCTGAGCTCACCTGAGCGCACCTGAGCGCACCTGAGCTCACCAGAGCGCACCTGAGCTCACCTGAGCGCACCTGAGCGCTCGGGGCGGCCACCGATGGACCCCCAGTGGTCATCAATGGCCACCACTGGCTCTCGGTGGCCACCCAGCAGCCACCAGTGACCAGCAGTGACCACCAGGGACCCTCAGGGACCACCAGAGCCACGGCCCCTCTCCCCACACCTGCCCAGGTGTGTCCCACG